TCTTAGGAAAAAATGAGTTCTAGGTAGTTTCATGGTATCATTTCATCTGGTTTTTCCTTTTTTTTCTTTTTCTTTACCTTCATACTGATCAAGCCATGAGGATGAACAAGAGTAAGTTTATGTAAACCATGGTAGTTGACAAAATTATTCAAATATATCTATTCTGAACACAGCATCCTTGTGTCACACAGGATGTTGCATTTTTTTGCATTTTTATTGCTTCTATCTTTAGAAGCACCAAAGAATCATGTGTCTCACATTCTTCATTTGGGTTTTGCTCATTTTGTTTAATTCCTCGTATCGTAAAGGATTTGCCTGAATCTGCATCTTCTGCATGGAAACAAAGAAGGGACAGCTATAGGAACTGCCTGGTAAGAGCTGACTAACTGCTCATGCAGAAACAATATCCTGAATATTGAACATTCTTAAATGGGTTGTAAGAATCTAAATGATGGAAAATAACACCATGCAGTGGGCAGGGCTAGGTGTTGGGGAATGCTGGTGGTGGATGTGGAAACTCCCAGCTCCATGGACAGTGACGGTGGTGGAAAGTGCAGAGCTGTGCCAGCGTGGAAACCTTCGCAGCACTGGTCAAACTTATGGGTAGGAAAAAGATATTAAAGCAAGAGTGACATTAGGGAGAGGGAGTGAGGCATTATAGCATAAAAGACCTTTTTGTCTGGCTAATCTTTGCTATGGCAAAACGTAGTGTCCCAGTTAAATCTCCCTCGTATGTTGGCACTGCAAGTTTTTAAAGATGGTCTAAGGCAGCTGCCTCCAATTGTACTTGCACAGATAAGCTGGAACAAATAAGTAGGCTCAGAAAATCTGGCTAGATTTATCTTCAAAGCATTTTTGAGTGGCTAATTGAAAATTATCCAAGCCACCTTCCTGATTTCTTATGTATTATTGCATTAATTTGCCAGCGCATGGAAAGCGCTTGGAAAACATACGAAGGATTTGTGAGTGCTAAGCTTTACTATTTGGAATTTACTTAATTATAAATATATCCTTGGTCATGTGATAATTGAAAGCCAGTTTCAACTGCTCTCTTCCATGCATCAGACTCCGGCAGGAGTTTTACTCATGTAAAAACACATCTCTGACATGAGGGGTGGGCCAGGGTATTCCTATCGTCTTCTGCCTCTAGGAGCTTTGTCCCCCGTCCTCCAGCTGTCCCTGCAGCACTGTTGGTGAGCACAGCATTGGGTATATAGTCAGCTGGCTGCTCTCTAGGTGTGTTTCTCATTCCTGAAACTTTCCCATGTGTGAAGGGACACGCTGTTCCCGTAGGAATTGCTTACAAAAGGCTCCAGGCTGGTCCCGATGTCGCTCCCAGCAGTACCAGCATCCTCTGTGTTGCTGAACCTAAGGGATGATTTTTGAAAGTGTGCTAAAAAATGTAAGGTTCACACTTGGTGTGAGCTGGGTAAAGTTCCTCAGCTGTCAGGAAAACAAATCAGTGTTGCATGGGAACAACTCACTCATCTCATGCTTACTTTTATCTCCTTTTAGCTGAACCAGTGCCCTATTCACAGAACTGAGATGTGGATTTATCTCACTTCTGGGAGGCTTCCCCATTCCTAAAGCAGTCAGTGGATTACACTTGATCCATATGGTGTTTATCAGCCGTGAGAGAATAATACTGCTAATCCTCTGAGGCCACACTATCTGAGAAGAATTCGGTGTGTGTTACCAAGAGAAGTTAAATGTACAAACCCGGATGAATTTGTCCCTTTCTGAAGTAACATGAACTTGGTACTTGGATGTGGACTTTCACAAATTCAAAGTACTTGTTCAGTAAGGTCAGTCTCACTCACAAATTGAGGAAAATAAAGGAAACCCGTGGCAGCCACCGAGCATCACCTGGGCCTGCTCCTCCCCAGTTTCCAGTACACTTTCTAATAACTTTTAATCCCCTATACCTGTTTCTTAGGAAATATCTCAATGTATGCCATAGAATTGAAAAAATTATTGAGTCTGCTCATAAACTGTGCTCAGCTATGGAAAGCTGAAGTTATGAATAGATGTTATTTGCCACAATAATACCATATAAAAGTCAAAAACCATAGCGTGAGAGGGAAGATTAACTATTATTGGGCATGTTTCAGCAAATAGGATTATTTTGCATGTCAGTTATGAGTTAATTTGTAACATTAATCTAATAGCAGTCTTTGGCAGAAATACAAAATGTTTTTAATTGGTCCTGTGACTTTTTAAATGATCACCTGATGAAAAGCTTGTAAATTTTACTATTGATTTAATGCTAAATATTAGGAGGGGAGGCTTTACAGATTTCATCAGGAAATACAAATCATATGCTTTCATTGCCTTGCTACTTCTGCTGTGTTGACTCTGTAATGTTGGCACTCTGGAACCAGCTGTACAGTGAGAAAAAAAAAGAGAGTTGAAATCTTGCAGCAAAATGAGGAAATCTATGGCGGGGAGATAATAGCATTGGGACTGATTCAATGTAAGCAAGAAATCACAAGCTGAGTCATTAAAAACAGAAATGAAAGGGAGGCAATAAATGGATGGCTTGGATGAATAAGAATGATTAGGAAGTGCGTGAAGTTGCTTGGGTTTTTTTTCCCTAAAGATTATATTTTGTCCTCTAAAGTGGCATATGGCTCCTGTGAAAGCCAATACCCACAGTGAATGTGTCACAGCCAGTTTATAAATACTTTAAGAGATGACAAGCAGCTCGGTGGACAGCACAGAGCAGGAGTGGGCTCCCTGCCCACAGCACCTGGGCACAACTCATTAGCTCAGATCCACAGGGAGATATCCAGGAGGTGGGTGTTGGGGCTGAGAAGGGTTTTGGGAGGGGGGAAAGATCTGCTGCTTGGAGGAAAGACCAGTTGCCTTCTTGGAAATGTTTCACCCTGTTTGCTGTTAACTAGGACTAGCGGTGACTGAAGTTGAAGGGGAGGGTGATGTGGTCACCTGGGTCAGGTGGCCCAAACTCCTGCCACCAAGGGAATAACACCTTTACTCTTCCCTGACTCATGAAGTATCAAAATATCAACATAAATTCATGAAGTATAAAAGGACATATCCGAGTGCTGGTAAAGAGGCAGTAAGAGTGTTTCCTCCAGGGGGAAGGTGGGCCAGTTTGGGAGCTCATGGCTCCTGGTTGCATCTGGTAATAACAGAGATGTGTGTCTGCTGAAATTGGTGAGAGCACAGTCAGTCCCCAGCCAGGAAACCTTCTTTACAAGTGCAGTCAAATGTAACATCAGACATGAGTCTGATACAAGTTTGATAGGGGCAGTGTGCAGCTGCAGTCAGTGGCTGCTGTGCAGGAGGCACGTTTGATTTACATGAACATGAGCTGTTCCTCCCCTTAGAGCCTGATTCAGCACCTCATAATCACTCCTGACTTTAACAGAGTGCTAAAGCAGTCTTATTTATTGCTTCCAATATTGCATCCAAAGATGAGAAACAGATTTAGAGCTGTAAGAGTCATAAGAACATTGGAGAGGCAAAAAAGTGAAAAAATAGAGCCTTGCACCAAGGCATTATCTTTTTATGCCAACATGTTACAACAATCTGTCTCTGCAGCAGGATTTCAATGCCTGCAGTTAGTTTTTGCATTTAAATGTTGCACATCAAAGTTACCTGCACTGCACTCAGCCAACTAAGGTAGGAGTTACCTGGAGGAGTCCAGCGTGGAGCTACAAAGCCGTGCCTTCCTTTCTGCCAGGCTCACCCGCTCTGCATCAAATTCATGCTGAAATCTGAACCCTGAAATAGTCCATGCACTCTGCTCCTCGGACTGGGTAATTAAGATAAAATTTTGCAAATGAAAGGTGGATCTCATTTGTTTAACTTACCTTAAGGACCAGACCTGTTGTAGCACTACTGACCTGTATGTTTAATATTTGGTAGCACATGTGATCTGTCCTCTGCCCTTCTGGGGTGGGAACAGGACCTTGGTGCTGTTCTGAGCATCACCTTCTGCCAAATCCTCTTGTCCCTGCAACACCTGCCAGTACAGGAAAGCACATCAGTGCTCGTGCACACCATTATCTACTCAGCAAATGTCAGTATTTTTTCCAGCAACCTACAGATAAGTACTAACATCTTCACCAAAGGCTGCAATATTCCCAGGTTACAGCCATCTGAACGTGGGACATTTTGTCAGGGAAACAAATGCCCTTTCCCCCCATTCCCTGCTGATAAGGCTGATTACCATCTCAGGAGAAATGTTTTTATAGGAACGTCTCAAACAGATACTGGCAAAAAATATTGGGAAATACAGGATGCTTTGAAGACGCTCTCTAACAAAATGCTTCTCGTATTTAAGACCAGTATTCAAGGGAGAACCTTATTAATTTCATTATTTATAGTTCAGCCAAGGTATTTAAGGAGAAGTACTCTTGGTTGCTGGCACGGTCAGGTGCTGCAATGTACAGGAACTGGTTGAAAGAAGGCAGTCTGCATCAGTAATCAGGTTAGAGTCAGCTGCCTCTGCCCTCCAGCTCCCTCTGAAATGGCATGTAGTCTAATTAGTTGTAGAAAGGATTTTACTGAATAGTTGTAAACAGATCTGAGGGCTTGGAATAAAATCAATCTGACTGTGGAAACTTTTCAGGATAATTATAAACTGTTATTGGCAGAGTGTGAGAGAGACCAAAGGGCTTTAAGCAGTGGGAAACGTGTAGCTGTGCGGGCTGCTCTCTGCAGGGGGAAGGAGAGGGATGGAGGTTGTGGGGGTCTAACCAGGCCTTTACCAGAGGAGAGATGGGGGGCTTAAGCTGCTGGGGAGACTTCCTCAGAGGTGCTTTTTTTAATGCTCCTGAATGTTTTGTTCTTTTCTGTAATGTTAATGACACCTGACGTACCAACATCCCTCATGGTGGAGAGTGCACGACCAGGTGAACTGCACAGGGAAATGCTTATACTTATTTAAAAAAAAAAAAAAGGACAAAAAGGAAAAATATCTGAGGGGTTTAAGCATGGTTTTATATAAAGGTATGTAAAAATTCTCTTTTCAGAGATCAGAATGGTCTTGGCTCAGACCTTCACCATTTCTCTACTGATGTAAGCTCTGAAAATTGCATCTCCTGGACAGGCCAGTCCCCGCTGCCCTGTGAAGTTGCCCCGGCCACCAGCCCACCTTGACCTGCTGCTCGACTCTGTGTTCCTGTTCATGGCAATGCCCCAGAATTCCACCAGAGAAAATGGCTTTTGTTTTACTCAGACTCTTGACTTCTCCCACCCTTCTCCTCGTCCTGGCGATGCCGGCCGGACCTTCAGTGCTGCGAGCGGGCTGGATGCCTGTGGCACCCCCATGAGCAATGGCATCGCCTCCCCTGGTGTGCCCAGCCCCTCTGACTCGTGTGCTGAACCCCTCTGCTCCACCACCCCGGGAGAGGAGGAGACCCGGTTCGAGGAAGGGATTAAATACGTGTCGGCTGAAGGGGAGGAACTGGCCTGTGGCTGGGGGGGGTTCACCCCCGGGTGCTTACAGCTCTGCAACACGTCCAAGGGCGTCTTGTTCTTCCTCTGCGTGGCCTCCTTCCTGCAAGGCATGACCGTGAACGGCTTCATCAACACCGTCATCACCTCCATCGAGCGCCGCTTCGACCTGCGCAGCTACCAGAGCGGGCTGATCGCCAGCTCCTACGACATCGCGGCCTGTGTCTGCCTGACCTTCGTCAGCTACTTTGGGGGGAACGGCCACAAACCACGGTGGCTGGGCTGGGGGGTGCTGGTCATGGGCTTGGGCTCCCTGCTCTTCGCCTTGCCCCACTTCACCACGGGGCAGTACGAGGCACGCTCGGCAGCCGAGGTGGATGTCTGCGGGGGCAACCAGAGCCTACCGTGCTCCCAGGCTGCCTCCAGCCTCTCCGGCTACAGGTTTGTCTTCATGCTGGGGCAGTTCCTGCACGGGATGGGAGCCACGCCGCTCTACACGCTCGGTGTCACCTATTTAGATGAGAACGTCAAGACTAATTACTCCCCTGTGTACATTGGTGAGTGGGGCTGGAGGGGCAGCTCGAACCCATGGGCGGGGTGGTGGGAGGGAGAGGTGGTTCCTCTGCCTCAGCACCCAACAGCCCACAGTGGGAACACCTCTCCTGGCACTGCTCAGTCTTTTGTTCCTGATAATGGGCGAGGTGGAAATCAGAGGGACGTGGCAGCTGCTGGGGAGGTTTGGATTATTTACTGGGACAAACTGTAAGCACAGCTGGGTATTTTTCCCCCCTGCAGCGCATGCCTTGAGGATCAGGAGGTGTCTCCTGCTCCTGGCATGGGGCCAGCTGGGGAGAGTCCTCTGGCCATGCCCTGGTGTGTGCATGGCATTAGCATCTCTGGCAGGGAGCCATGAGGCCATACCCCATCTGTGCACAGGGACATAGAACCACAGAATAGTTTGGGTTCAAAGGGACCTTTAAAGGTCATCTAGTCCAACCCCCTGCAATGAGCAGGGACACCTTCAACTTGTTCAGGTTGCTTAGAGCCCTGTCCAATCTGACCTTGAATGTTTCCAGGGATGAAGCATCTGCCACCTGTCTGGGCAGCCTGTGCCAGTGTTTTACCACCCTCGTTGTAAAAACTCCTTTAAATATCTAATCTAAATCTTTAGATCATCACCCCTTTAGTGCCACAGCAGAGCAGGGATGGTCACTGGGCTGCTCAGCTACTGCTGGTGCAAAGCACAGCCAAGAACAGAGGCTCAGCTCGCTCCTCTGTATCGCTGCTCACTCAGCAGCTGCCAAATACCCACAGTCCTATTTGGTGAAATTGCTAAAAAGGTGATCTTTTAGCAATTCCAAAATTTATCAGTCTGCCCATGTTGTTGTATCAGAAGGCTGTGTAGTGTGGGAAGGAAATCAGAAGGAGATCATCAGCAAGTTGATGATCTTTCCATATGTTGTTGTTTAAACAGCAAACCAAAATAAGTGCCAGTGGTGCCATGTTTAGTGTAGACACTGTGCTGCTCATCCCTCCGGCAGCTGGGATGTGGCAGCAGGGTCAGATGCATCCCTGCTAAATAAGCTTTTCCACTGAACCAAATTTGCCTACCCCTTACTATAAAAATTCCCAGGTTGAATGCAAAAGTTTCCCTGGGACAAAAGCATGAGGTGAAAACTTGTTAGAACTATCTGTGTTTGTGTCTCAGTGGTTTAGGGAGAGGGGTGTGATGTGGCCAGGGGTGAGCATCCTGCATCCAGGAGGGAATTGGGCTGGGGATGCTGGGCACCAGCAGTGCTCTGCAGCATCCCTGGCTGACACGCTGCTGGTTGTCTAACACAGCTTGTTTTCCCTTTCAGCTGTTTTCTACACTGCTGCAATCCTTGGGCCTGCAGCGGGTTATCTGGTAGGAGGAATGTTTCTAAATATTTATACTGAAATTGGCAGAGAGTAAGTCGTTAAAAAAAAATCTTGTTCCTTTCCCTTTATGCTCTAAGTTTCCTTTGGGGTAAAAAAAATAAAAAAAATAACAATGATCTGAAACAATGACCCGGTGGCTGGGTGGAGGCATGCCTGGGGTGTTCGGTGATGTGTCTGCAGGGGGGAGAGGCTCGAAGAGTGGTTTGCATTAGTGCTGCTACTGGAGGGAAATTGCTGACAAACCTGTCAGCTTAAATCCTCCTTCACGCTGCACTGCCTGTGCTAATGAGGCTACGAGCAGCAGGTGAATTTTTTGAATGAGTTCCCTGATGAGCAGTGCTACCAGCAGTGCTGATGGTCCTCCCAGTCATCCCACCAGGATGCTTAGTCCCTCCTTGCTTTGTAGTATTTGTAATTTATTCTTGTTTCCTTACAGGTTCTTTGGCAGATCATAGAATCATAGAATGGTTTGGGTTGGAAGGCACCTTAACGATTATCTAGTTCCAACCCCTCTGCTATGGGCAGGGACACCTTCCACTAGACCAGATGAATGGATTAAAAAGGGGAAATGGGTTTCCAGGGGAAACTTACACCAGTTTTATTGCAAAGTGTGGTTTTAGGGTCGAGAAAGGATCTTATCAGCCCCCAAAGCACAAATGAAAAGGGGTGAGGTGAATGTACAAGCCAGAAATGAAATGAGAATTAAAGGATACAATTTCCTGGGCTCATTAAGTGGTAAGACAGGCAGGAGACAGCGTGGCAGGAGGGATGGTGGATGTGTCATCCCCATCAGATCACCACAGGGGAGCCAGAGCTCGGTTTCCTTCACTGTCACCCCCACCCCATGTTCCCCCAGCCCCTGCCAGCCTCAACAAGAGGCACATCGAGCTGTCCTGCTCTGTTTCCAACCGCCACCTCTCTCCCTTGTGCCCTTTTGGCTTCGCTTCCCACAGGATCGGCATCTCCCCGGAGAACACGCTGTGGGTGGGGGCGTGGTGGATCGGCTTCCTCGGGGCCGGAGCAGCCTCGCTCCTCATCTCCATCCCCATCCTGGGGTACCCCCAGCGCCTCCCAGGTACGTGGCTCCCCCCGGGGCTGGGGCTGGGACTGCACTGCTCACCCCTTCCTTGGGGCTTGCATCCTCATGCACGGGTGTAGCTGGGGCCACAGGGATAAAGGAAGAACTTCCAGTGCTTAAGTTGTAATTCCTTAAAGGATTTCACCGCCTTGGCTTTCCATCTGCCTCTTTTACTGCTTCTCCCTTGCAGCTGTTGGTGGAGGGAGGATGTCACGTTGCGTTTTCCCTCTGCAAATCCTCTGCTTCAGTAGCATCCACATCCCGTGTCTGACACGCTCCCTGTTCCTGTTTGCCTCTCATTTGCAGGATCCCAGCGATATATTGTTATGAGGGTGTCAGAGGCTCATCAGATAAAGGATGGGAGCCACAAAAAAGCATCGGATCCAGACTTTGGGAAAACAGTTAAAGATCTGCCTCGGTGAGAAAACCACCTCATGCCTGAGGTTCAGGGAGCCCTCTCCAGAGGAGAGAGAGTAATGGGCCCAGGTTGAGCTTGCTTTCAGCCCTGCCAGCTCTGAGGTTTGCCCATCTCAAGCAATGACACTTTCTTATAGAGGAGGTGCCAGAATGCCTGGTCCCATCAGCGTCTGGGGGCTCTCGGTGAAGGGGCTGAATTAGAAGTGGTGCTGGGGATCCCATCAGAGAGCAGGGGACAAGAGGCTGGTCCCATCTGGGGTTTTCAGAATCTCTCATCCATGTGTGCAGATCCACCTGCAGTCCTGTGCCACACACTGAGTTTCACTGAGAGTGTCTTGATGCCAAGCTTTAGGTGATGGGAGAGGAGCAGGCATTGCCAGCTCATTCCCTCTCCCCAGCAGCATTTTTTCTGCCTGTTTGCTTATGCCTGGCCTCACCTGGCCCAATTGCGTGTTTTGCAGCGTCTCCTCCTCCCCAGCCCCTTGGGGCTTTTTTCCTTTCCTCTATTTTTACTTATGTTAGATCCCTGTTTGGCCTTTTAATGAGAAACGAGATGAAACAAGGCCCCCTGATTCTCACAGCTCCCTTCCAAATCCAGGGAACAAGATATGCCGCACTGTAGCTTTCAGTTCCCTTTCTCTTTTATTCTTAGTTTCCTTTTTTTTTTTTCCCGTTTGCCTTCACATCTTCCAGCCACCTTTTATGTGTTACTACTTCTTATCTCTCCAGCAAGGCAGTGACACAGCAACTTGCTTAATCCCTGAGCTGCTGCTTGGCTGAGTGGTGCAGGAGAGCAGGCTTGCACCAAGCGAGGTCTGGTAGGAGGTGCTTTTAAGGGTCCTGACTGGGAACAAGCCAGTGGCCAAAATAAAACGTGGTCTTTTAAGCTGGAAACTTCTGTGATGAATCTTTAAAATCTTTCCTGATTTTTTCTTTCTGTGTTGAGTTGTATTTAAGTGGAGGGCAGGGGGAGAGGTGCTGCTTTATTTACAGCTTGGGGTTAGCTGGCATTCGGGCTCAGGATGTTAGAGATACCTGGGTATCGATTCCTTTTGGAGCTTGCAGTCAATAAGGGGCTTTTTCTTTTTTGTATTTCTCCCAAGACCATTTTTAGGGAGGAGATTGTATCCGTGTGTGACGGCTGCTCCATGAAAAGGCAAACACTCAGTGTTGCCAAACCCCAGGCCGCTGCCAACAATTATCTCTGAGCTGTGGTTGTGGTGTTGCTGTTGTGCTGGCAGAGGAGGGTGGAAGCAGGTGCTCAGTACCAGAGTTTTCAGCACCAATCGATCTGTGTTGTGTCAACACAGTGACTCACATCAGTCTGGAATTCTTGGAGACTTCGTAGGAAGTTTACCAGGGGTTAAGACAGTTTTATGAAGAATATTACATTGAACAGATTTCAATACTGTTATTAAATGGCATTCTTGACTGGGTGCCATTTTCCAAGGTCATGGCTTATTCTCCGCACGGAAATTAAATTCAGAACCTGCATTTAAATAATGATAAGGTTATGACTAAAACCAACAAAAACAGAGAGGGTAGCAGAGAGGGATGAAATTCAGTGGTTGATGCTTTTCTTGCTTCTCTGGAACAAAGCTCCCACTGTTTCTTGGTGAAGGCTGTCTGACAGCAGGAAAGAAGATAGTCCTCCTTCGGGAGCATCTCCTTTCACCCCTTGTTCCTGAAGAACAAATAGCTGAAGGTGGGCAGCCTTTATCAAACAATTTAGATCAGTCCAGACCTTTTCATTTGAAAGCAAAAGCCCAACAGACTTTTGTGGTCCCTGGTTTTGATTAATAAAAGGGAAGTGCCTTAAAGGCTTGCTATTCTGGAAACTTGCATTAAAAAGATCACATCTGTGCAGGCAGCTCTTGGGGACACGTGGACCAGGCTGGAGAGTGAGGCCAAAGGAACACTCACTGTTCCTTTTTTTTAGTAAGGGATCGTGTGCTACACATTTTCTTACAGCATGGACAGGAACAGTGTCACAAAGATAAGCAGAAATACTGATGAAATAAAATGCTGTTCCATGCCATCAGGTCCTTTCTGAGCAAGGTTAATGAGTTGCTGAACTCACAGTGCTGCCTAAGAGCAGGAGCTTACAGGAATGTAGCCCATACAGCTTAATCCTCTGCCCTGAAGAGACTTCTGTCTTAACTCTTGGGTTGAAAAGCCCTGATAAAATAGCATTTTCCTTTCTCTGGTTCCATATGATTGCTCTCCTGGAATAACCCTTCCTGTCAGAGCAGAGGGTTGCAAACAGAAGGCATGTGGAGCTGTGCCAGGAGAGGAGGTGAGGGACAGGGTTTGTGAGGATCACTCACTTGTCTGTCAAGCTCTGATCTTCAGCATGAGAAGCTGTGGTCAATATTTCACTCATCACTCTTGGATTAGGTGCAGGATGGGACTTTGTTTTGTCTCATGGCTTTACTGCAGCTTCCCTGCCCTCTGTTCCCTTGCTGGTGGTGACAGTAGGTGTCATTTTATGCTGGAAGTGACCCCATTGACGTGCTATGAATAAATTGCATAAATATCCATCTATTAATGACTCATTAGGTTGTGTCTGTACTCTGTTACAGTCTGAGGTGTCCTGGGCATGCCAGGGTTTCTCAGGGGAGCAGGTTCTAGTTATACAGGTGGTCCCAACCTACTCAGGAGAACCATTAAGTGATGAAAGAGTTCCTATATGTGCCCATATCAGTAAAGACTTGGAGGGTCAGCTTTTATATGTGGTGGGATTCTCCTCTGTGAGGTGCTGAGCCTCCTGAAATCCCTGTGGCTGCAAAAACTGAGGACAATCAAGGCTGTTCAATAGTTATGTGGTTTCTGGGTGTGTTTAAAGTCCTACTGATAGCGATTAAAAAGTTTTTGTTGACTTTAGTAAGGTTTTATGTGCCATAGCTGCTCACAACTACGTCTTTTGTCTTCAAACAGATTAAATTACATCAGTAAATTCTTACTCAAGTGCTGAAAGGAGTTCCTTTGCATTTCTTTACCTGCAAGTCTAACTTGGCAAAGGGCACAAAGTCACACTAGTGCCAGGGAATGACTCTTTTCTGTAAAAAGGAGAAGGCACTGTCCATTTTCTGCATCAGCCACAAGGTCCACAAGCGTTTTTTCACTAAAAGATTAGGCTTTGTGCTTCCAAATTAAGCACAGTTGAAAAGATCTGGAAAATAGTTTAGTAAATTAAACTAATCCCAGGAGCTACACAATGTTTAGTATTGAGCTCCACGTAATCAAAGTGTAGGAATGTGTGGCATTTCTGTGTTTCAGCTTATTTGTTCTTTCGGTGTAATGAAATTCTCCGTTTGATGTGAGCAAAGTTGCACAAATCTGAGGCTGAGCCTCAGCACATCTCTCACTCACTTGTTCTACAGTAAGTGTTCTCTGATCTCACACCTCCTCTGGAGCAGGAGTGGTAAGTGATTGTTCCTTTCTGTTCAGTGAGCATCCCTGTTGCTGCCACTGTTGCAGGATGACCAGGTTTGTGCCCATGCCAGGAATGGGATAACCTGTGGCTCTGGTCTGAGCTTGGCTTGGGGAAAGTCATACGGCAGAATTTCAAGCTCGTTACAAAACGTCCCCTGCAAAGCAGTGTCAGCCCTCTTAGTCCAATATCCGAGATAGAGAGAGATAATTGAGACCATCCCATGTGCCTGAGGGCCTTTCTGTGTCTCAGAGATGGAATTGTTGCTGCATCTGCATATAAATTACACATGGCAATTTTTCAGGCATATCTATGGCATTTCTACTAAATCCTGGTGGGTCAAAGTAAAATGTATTTACTCAATTTATACATTAAGCTTCAAGTAAAACTGTGCTTAGATTGTGGGAGAAAGATTGCTTTCCACTTTTTAGTGGATATAAGGTGTCTTGGAGGTGTTTCCTCCATATAGAAAGGCTTGCTTGGTATTTCCCCCAAGGTTGTAATTCTTATGAGGATGTGGGTACACGAGTAATGTGGGTATGTGAGGATGTAGCACTACTTTGTTCCCTGCTCTTGCTTGAGTCAGGAGTCCCAAGATACCTGTCATCAGGGCCTAACAAAACCTTGAAATGATTGAGATTTAGTGAGGAGTAATGTCCTTTCAGTATTGCCTCATTTAGGAATAGAAAATACTCAGCCTGACCCTAAAAGCTGGAAAATTACTGCTGAAATCATCCTTTTGGAAGTCGTGGGTGCCCTGGGTGTGAATTATATCACACACTGTGACATCTACTCTGTGCAGGTACATAGGGACAGGTGAGGGTACCCTCAGCATCCTTCCTTGGCTGGTAGGACTCGATAAGCATAAGTGGAGAAGATCCCTGCTCTTTCAACCCCCAGTTAGCTCCCTTGTGGTATTTTTTCTTTCAAAGAGATGCAGCACGATGGGATGCTGCCTCATCTTACGTGCGATCCTTCTGACTTAAAGATAAGGAACAGACTTGAAGTCAAAATGTGCCACAGTGATTCAATTCCAATATATTTGTCCTTCTCAGATCAGTGCTGTTACTTCTGAAGAACCCCACCTTCATCTTCCTCTGCTTAGCAGGAGCAACCGAAGCCACCCTCATTGCTGGGATGTCCACCTTTGGACCCAAATTCCTGGAGTCTCAGTTCAGTTTAAGTGCCTCTGAAGCTGCTACATTTTTTGGTAAGGAAATCATGTTTTTGCAATGTTTTCACATTTTGCCAACAAATAGAAGAGCACTTTAGCCCATTTAGAGTGGAGACAAACGCTTTGCAGTTCATTTACAGAGCTGTTATCCTCTTCAGCTGTTAGATAGGATTATTTTCATCAGCACATCTCCACCAAGTGCCTTTCCAGAGCTGTATCTAGTGACATCAGGAAGAAATGCGGTCACTTCTGTAGCCATCTGTTACCCTCTAGAGGAAGGCAAAATAATTGTAGTGTGTTCCTCCTAGTGCATTACCAGGAAACATTGACTAAACATTTCCTGTAATGAGGGATGTCTGAGCTGGGGGATATGTTTTGTCAGCATCCAAAAACTGGGAGGATCCTCGTACAGCTGCTGTAACACAGACCAAGGAAGTGGTCTCCAACAAGCATCAAGACTCATGATGTGCTCCTGAAAGAGTCAGTTTTAACATTTCTGGGTAGGAAGAGCTGTTTACCAGGCTCAAGCCACATTACCTGAGCTGTTATGGAGGACCACCTACTATAGCAACGTCCACTGAACTCCCACCAAGAAGCCACACAGCAACCAAGGGGTCCTTTATATGCAAGACACACTGCAAGTAATATATTCAAACATGAAAACTCCTTGCTGACATTTCTAAACTTGCTTGTGGGGTTTTTCCCCCTTTTTTTTCAGGTTATCTGGTCGTGCCAGCTGGAGGGGGAGGCACATTCCTGGGAGGATTCCTTGTGAATAAATTCAAACTCCGCTGTTCAGGAATCATCAAATTGTGTTTACTTTGCACAGTGACAAGTCTGCTGGCAATATTGATTTTTTTTATCCACTGCCCTAACATGCCAATGGCAGGAGTAACCCAGATGTACGATGGAAGGTAACAACAACCATCCCATCTGTCTATGCTGCGGGGCCCTGGTCAGAATAGAAGGATAACTCCAAACACACAGTGCTGGTGGCAGTCTCATGTGAACGTGTTGGGGATGAAAGTTGACGTCTAATCAGTCCTACAGACAGATATTTAGGGTGAGACACAGAAAATAGATGTCCTAATTTTTGCAACTGGATGGAGTTTATAGAAGAGACTCCCTAGTTAGTAAGGGAGGGGAGATCAGCAGCACCAGAATGTAAGATACTCCACTCTTCAGTTGCCTTCACAGTGTCCTCCATCTCTAGCCAGTGGGATAAACTGGACCAAAACTGGGAATCTCTTCTCCAAATGGAAGTGTCACCCTAAGAGCTGGTCACTTAAACTCCCTTAGTAGCTGTGGGAAAGAGACAGCTCCAGGGCCCAGTTTAAATTGGGTGAGATGAAACCCTTCCCAAGCCTGGCTTTACACTCCTTGGGTATCCATTGCAACTCCTACTGTCTCCCCTTCTCTTTCTCTTCCTCTACTCATCTCCTCCTGGAAAATGCTGTTCACTGACTGCTCCTGTGTTTCCCTTAGTGCTTTGCCTGGTGGGCAGCTCAACCTGACAGCAGCCTGCAACGCCAAGTGTGGCTGTTTGCAGGACACCTACAGCCCTGTCTGCGGGAGTGATGACATCATGTATTACTCTCCCTGCCACGCTGGGTGCAGAAAAGTGTCTGAAAAACTCAGGAATGGCAAGAAGGTATGTCTGAAAGCATTGTGTATTAACAACGTGGTGGCACATCTTTGGAGTGATTTGGCTGGCTTTGCAAAACTGTCCACAGGTTTGAGCTTTGCTACAGATCATTGTAAAAGTCTGGGGCAGGATGGATGCTTTCCAGTGCAGAAGGTAGCCAGAGGTCACCCTGCTTTGCTTCTCTCATTATATCCAATCATCTTTGCCTCATTCTGGGTCAAACTGTGCTGAAATCCAGGGTAAATCACTCAGGCAGGCAGGGAACTTGGTAGGCACCTAATTCCTGTTCTAATGCTTATTTTGGGTTTTCAGTGAACATGATGCACCTCCTCATCCTTCCAGCATGTTACTCATAGAGCCAGACAGAGGCTTGAAAAGGGTAGAGATGATATTCTGCATTCAAGGGCTGCCTGGCAGAATTAATTTCTCTTGCTTAATGACCTGCTTTGAAACAGAAGTGTGTCAAGAATGCAGCTTGATTTCCACTTCCCTCCATTCCGGGAGTGAAACCAGCTGTTTTCTGCCCTCCCTGAATTTCATGATTTTTAAAGCTTGACTATCACCGTGCTCTCCTTGGCAGAACACCCACCAGCCTTTTTTTTTTCCCAGGTCTATCGTGAGTGTAGCTGCGTCAACAGAACCCTCCTGCCCGGCCCTGGCGATGCAGAGGCAGGGAAATGCACCTCGTCCTGTGCGAAAAAGCCCTTGCTCCTGTGCTTCATGTTCGTGGTCATCCTCTTCACCTTCCTGAGCAGCATTCCTGCCCTGACTGCCACTCTGCGGTAAGCACGGGATGGCCTCAGCCTCTGCCAGTGCTGCAAGAAGCCTCAGTATCCACCTCTCCACTTTATCAAGCCATGGGGAAGGTGTGATGGGAACCACCTCACCTCCAGGCTGGCAGCCTGGAGACATCAGGACTGATCCCTTCCCAGTCTAGCTAGGAAAGCAGATTTTAGCACTGGAAGCTTTATCCTCTGCCATGTTTACAGCAGTGGTGGGGGCACATTGCACTGGGATCCTCAGCCTCCAGAGGGGTTGGAGGTCCCGGGTGTGTGGGATGTGGTGTTGTGGGGCAGGGAGGTGCCAGACAGCCTGGCAGCATTTTTAAACAAACCCCTTGTGTTCCCCAGGTGTGTTTCCGACAGGCAAAGGTCCTTTGCACTTGGGATCCAGTGGATTGTGGTGCGGACACTAGGTATGGAGCAGAGTGAATTTGAGCACTGGTATGGTCTGCTGGTTTTGTGGTGTGTGTACCTAAGAATAAAACACATTGGGTTGGAAAAGAAGGGAGTAGTGCATGCACTGGTGAAAGGAGGATGCTTTCTTTTGTTTGCTGTCATTCAGAAAAACCTAATTCCCTTTGCATGTGATTTGCAAACCAAATGGAGGGTTCTGTGACATGTCACAGGTGGAAGAGGAGCAATGTCCTGGCAATGTGTCCTTATTTTAAGAAAAGGAGCAGATGTATTGAAGCTCCTGTGGGTGTCTTTTGGCTCTTGTGCAACATCTAGGTCAGGATGGTCAAAAGACCTGCTGGACTCTCAGATCTGGAAATCCAGTGTATTTTTGATACCTTGTGGCTCTGGGTGCTGCAGGATGAGTTTTCCTAGTCATGGTAGCAGCAGAGCCTGATGCTTTTCTGCAAGCACCTTGTGAGTTGCAGGACTGGTGTGTAGGTGCTGCCCAGACTGAAGCTTCACTCTCTCTTCCCACAGGAGGCATCCCTGGCCCCATCGCCTTTGGATCTATGATTGATAAATCCTGCCTGCTCTGGCAGGACCAGTGTGGTGAGCAGGGCTCTTGCTACGTGTACCAGAACTCAGCCATGAGCAGATACACCCTCATCGCTGGACTGGTCTACAAGGTGATAAAGCAAGCAGGTCTTTAGGAGACAACATTTTTCTCTGGGAGAGAATTCCACAAAATTGGATTGCCCTGATCTGGCCTCCCAGACAAAATTAAATTTTTACATGAGAAATGTTCTCAGGGAAGTCAAAAGCCTTCTCACCAGGTAATGGTGCTCCAGACACCATCATTCTCTTAAATTCCCATTATTTTCTAGGCTTACAGCTTGTTTTGAGCCATATGAAATATCTCCTCCAAACAGTAACCAAAGTGATTTTTGCTAGAAATGGAGTAAAAGACATAACTGCAGTGTGTTAGTGAGTGAGGGATGGCTTTTTGGGCAGGTTGTAAATAACCATTCCCCGACCGCTGCTAGAAAATAAGAACTTAGAACTGTGGTTTTTATTTATTAGCAGAAAACCATCATTTTAACTGCTCCCAAACAAGCAGTTGCCCTAGATAGTAGTGTTTAGCAGTTGCTGTGATAAAGAGGCTCTCAAAAGCCTTGCAGCAAATGCCTCATGCAGCACTGTGCTCCAGATGTGGGGTAAATTCTCACTGTCCCCTTGCTATGGGGCTGGCCCCCAGCATCACCTCCTCCCCAAAGCTTGGTCAGCAAATCTCATTCCAGGTGTGGGACAGGCACCAGGTTTTGTGGGGAGCAGAGAGTAACGGGGTGTCTTTGTGGCTGCAGGTGCTTGGGACAACCTTCTTTATAGTCGCCTGTTTACTCTACAAACCCCCGCCACCGGAGTCGGCTCCAGGCAGCTCGGATGCATCCGAAAATGGCAACGGTGACCTCCAGGAGCACAAGCCTTCACTGCCAGCTGAAGAGGATATATAGTGCTGTACTCGTGCAAGTGACTTTCTCAGCCTCAAAAATACAATGAGAAGACGTTATGCAGTCCCCAGGGGTTTTTAAATTAACAGTAATATTATAACTTTTTTTTTTTAGCCGAAGATAAATAATTTAATTAACCACTGGTGTGCTTTGCTGTTTCCTTGATGGCAGAAGCACATTTAAAATCGTGCGCTGGTGCCATATGCAGTTATTTAATTTTATTTAAAGAAAGGGCTACCGTAGCTTTATTCTGTGTCTGTGACAAGCGAGGACCGTGTTCTCCACTCGTGGAAATAAGCACCAGTAACTCCAATGGAGCATGTGGGGTTTAAACCACCAGAGGATCTGGGCCCTAATATCTCAATTGTAAAGCCAACTGTAGCAAAACGTCTGCTGGGACTTCCCAAGCCTGGAAAGAGCACTGCTGTCCTACAGTCTGCACTGCAGCCAGGACAACTGGCCCTTAAACTGCTGTATGCAAAGCAGAGGGCCCTGGCAGTGTCCTCCTCCTTCCTGTGACACACAGCATTCTCTGTTTGTCCAGGAGCAGGTTCTCTTATTATGCAAGTTCCTATTACCATGTGATGGGAGATAGGTTTGAGAGGAGATTTGATTAGCAAATCCATCAGGACACTACAGGCAGCCTTCCCCAGAGCTGCCGAGCACTGTACACTCACTGCCTCACTCATTGCAGGGTTTACACCGTGGTGACACTTCATTTTCTTTCTTGTGTTGTTTCAAAGTGATGCCTTTTGTAACGTACTGTGCAAAACTTGAACTTCTTGTTGTTTGCTGGGTGTGGGAAGACATGAGATACAGATCTATGCAATGCTTCTCTTTGGTTGTTCTGGAAAGACATTGGGGTTGGGTAAATGGAAAAGTTAGAGTGAATTTAGTTTGCCTCTAGACCACTACCTTAAGGGATAGGACTGCCTTGTGGGAAGGGGATGCTGACTTGTAACTGGCCTACTTGCAAGCAGAGAGGGCAGTGTTCCCAAAGTGACCTTTGAATGTGCACTTGCAAGAGTGACCAGGAGCTTTCTGTGGGGCAAAAGTAGAATTTGGGCATGTTTAGGTCTGGCTTCCCTCTCAGTCCAGATCAGGAAAGGTTAGTGCTTGGCCTGCCTGTATTTGCACAGCCACATGACCTGGGTACATCTCCAGGGGAGGCTGTGGCCAGCCCCTGGAACGCTACGTTGTAGAACCAGGTTCACGGGGGACGAGACCTACATTACCAAGCTGCAAAACTGGTGCTTTTCTTTTTTTTTTTTTTTTGTGCCAGCTCCTACTTAGAATTACTTTGTAGATGTTTTTGTATATTTTGTGTATTTATGCTTTCATAAACAGACACAGGATGGGCATTTGCTTCCTTTGTTAGCAAAGGACTGGCTCTCAGAGCAGAGGTGAAGCCGTTCCCATTGCAGACAGGGATGGCAGCTCTGGGAGTGTGGTCCACCTTCAGGTCGATGGTAGTCAAGAAAACAGCTTCTTCCATTCACATATTCCCTTCCACCCAAGCCAGGTAGTGACATTACCACTTCCAAACCATCCTTTGAGCATCCCTGCCCCATCCTTGTAAGTGCTCAAGGCCGGGTTAAACAGCACTTCGAGCAACCTGGTCTAGTGGAAGGTGTCTCTGCCCACAGCAGGGGGTTGGAACAAGAAGATCTTTAAGGTCCCTTCCAACCCAAACCATTCTGTGATTCCATGATGTTATCATCTCCAGTAACTGCTGGAAAAACTGAAAGTGCTAAGGGTGAGATGGAAGGTGGCTTTTGGCAGCTGGTGCAGCTTTGATGGGGCACAGTGTGCAGGGGAGCCCTGTTTTACCAGGGAGGCAGGATTAGACCCACTGATGCAGGAGTTAACCCCAACACCACGCAAATGCCACAGGCTTCTTCACAACCTCCACTTGGGTTTGGAGCCACCTGCAAACACAAGCCTCTCTCCAGGCCTTTCCCTTTCCACCTTAGACACTTTGGGTACAAGCAGGGACCTTAGATGGGGGAAATGCATGAATGTATTTTGGGAACATATTTTATGTATGATGTATTTATGAAAGGTAGAAGGTTTTCTTAATATATATGTATGGATATTGCAATGCAATTTTAGTGTTTATAAAATGAGCTTTATCTGAGTGTGTTGTTTCCAGAGCAAAACAAAAGCTTGTGGGATTCTGGGCATTTATTATGTTGCTGTGGGACTAGTAAGTCATGAATTTTAGTAAGCAGCAACAAGGCAGCAACCATAAACAGGTTGTTTAGGTGTACAGGTAACTTAAAAAATTTGAAAGTATGTTTCCCAGTTCGTTTGAAGTATTATGTTGCTATAAAAGCATAGAAATACAATCAGTATTTCACAGGTATTTGTGTGTGTGTGTTTTTCATCAATTGTCACCCTTTCCCAGCTGCTGTTCTTGGCAGGGGTGTATCTATGGTGCCAGGCTTTGCTGCAGGTCATCATGGTGTCTGCAAGGAGGAGAGTTTGAACTCAGGTTTGTCTTTAAATCATAGTGTTAATAAAACCCCTCGTGGATACAGAAGCTGCAGGAACGAGGTGACATTGAGACCCTGTGGGTTGGCGTCTGTCTCTGACTTACCCTCTTCTCCTGAGAACAGAAGATAATTGCTTTGGAGGGCAAAAGGAATTTAGTGGTTGCGGGGGAAGAAGAACCTTCATTTCTCTCCTTCATCCACAGATCGACCCCATTAAAGCCATGGAATTTCTGCCAGACTCGAACTGGGTAAATGAGGTCAAAGTTCTGTGTCACCTGTGGTTTGCTGAGGGCAATTCACACGGTTAAAGAACACAAACAGTGGTTGGTGTTGAGGAGACACTGCAGGGAAGTAAAACAAATGAGCGCCCAGAGGGAGGGAAAACAGGAGCAACTGATCATTATTTATTGTAGACAAAATCTCAGGCAGTCAATGAGCCTGTCTTCCTTGGTGAGGAGTTTGTTTGGAAGCTTCCTGGAGGTTTTAAAATGCCAGCAAATGAAAGCTTTGAATGATATGTAGATGGTTCTGCAGAGCTTCTCCTGCTGCCATGGTCTCTCCTATGCCCGGGTGTGCAGAGGAGCCTCGATGCCCCCCTGTCCCAGCAGCTGCACCCTTCAGCCTCCCTTGCCCCCAGCCCTGCAGACAGGAATGGGAGCAAATACTGATAATTCACTTTTTATAGTTAGTTTAATATAATACAAGAAGCAAAAGGAAACAAAAAAACCCAAACAAAACCTGATTGCCGTGGTTTGATTTCATCAAAAGAAAGAACCCCCCTTTTTCCAGGGGGCCAGACCCTGTTCCTGACCGCAGCCCATGGCTGTGGGTCAGGGCTTTGTGCAGGGCCAGGTGGGACTGGGGATGGTGCCACTAGATGGCAATGGAGACAGCAGCACGATGGCATGTCCAGAACCTCAGAGTGCTGGTGAGAGCAAGTCCTTGGTGCTTTATAGAAAGGACAAAAAAATCACTGCACTGGATTCCAGGTTTATGACAGCAAAGCCACAAATACATTTTATAAGATCCAAATAAGGTCCAAACTAAACTTTTAGTATCATTTTTCTAGGGAAAGTAGGCACCATTTGTAATCACAAAACTATGCAACAGGTGAGGGTTAAACAGAGCAGCTGCATTATTTCTACAAAAGCTGATAATTTGATGCATTCCCTTCCCAAGCAGGGGTGGAGGACTCTGAGCTGTCACACAAAAGGCCATTTTTCTTACCCAAATGTGATAATTTGGGTTGCTATTAGCCTGATCCTTTCACCTCAGTCTGAGAAAAGCCTACCTGTGTTCTCCTTAAGTTATGAAGGATGCTTGGTTTGGGGCACAGGAATAACCCCAGGTGCTCTGGCCCAGCTGAACTCTGTGGAAAACCTTATACTGAGCCCAGTGGGCTCTGGGTCAGGCTTGTAATTAATAACTTCTCTGGCTTGCTTTAAAATCAAACAGCAAAAAAGGAATAGTGGCAGGTTAAGGGAAAGGCGTGTGTTTTACCAACCTGAGCAGCCTCAACCCAGTGAACTTGGGGGTCAGGAGGTGTGTGTGGAGTGGCTGTGGCTCTGCTGCCAGAGAAGAACTGGGTTTCTATCAAACAGTTCCAGGGGATTTGAGGGAGCAGAATGTGATGGCATTTTCTGTGGCCAAAATAATTTCCTCTGGAACAGAATAAATGCTAAAATTTTCCTCTCTTTCCTCAAGTTTTCATATTGACCTGCAAGCAGCAATTTTAGAAGATTAAAATGAGACCATTCTGCCCCTTCTAATGAGGTTCTGCATGTCTTCTCCAGCCAGGGACCTGCTGTCCAATTTCCTAGAGACACACAGAAGAATAAATCTCACACTAAATTAAAATTTTCAGGTGTATTACATCTCTCCTGCTTCATTACCTGGTAACACTGTGTCAGTTAAGAGAGTCCTGAGAAAGCTCTTAGAAGTACATACAACGGAATGAACTCACCAAAAATTCCCTTTACAAACCTCCCTTTCTAGTAAGGGGAAAGCAGAGCTGCTATAAAATGAATATTGCAGTAGTTCAGTGAAACATTGATGCATTAGTAACTATAGAAACTGCAGCTCTAGACACAAGTGTTCAACATACTAATGTGTCCTGGTTCAAACTAATAAGAAAAATGTGATCTCTTACTATTCTAGCTATCTGGTTTAAAAATATAAAATCTGTTCCAAGTGGAGCAATGTTCTGAAAGTTGATGAAATCACAGATAAAGCCTTCCCCCTCAGCAGGGGTAAGAATTAAAAATTATGAGCTATCCGAGCCTCTATGGCATTACAGGTAAAATCTGCCCAGTTGTTCATAGGATGGAACCATGGAATGGTTTGTGCTTGAAGGAATCTTAAAGATCACCCAGTTCCAATCCCCCTGCCATGGGCAGGGACACCTTCCACTATCCCAGGTTGCTCCAAGCCTCATCCAATCTGGCTTTGAACACTTCCAGGGATGGGGCAGCCACAGCCTCTCTGGGCAACCTGTGCCAGTTCCAACTGCTTAGGTATCACCTAAGCAGTAGCTTTGAAAAACATTATTAATAGAAAAAGTAAAGTACCTGTCATCTTTGCATGCCTTCATTCCTAAGGATGAGTTGGCAGTGGGTTTTTTGTTGGGACATGCAGACACTGCTTTTAGTTTTATTCTGAGAGAAAAAAATAAAAATGCAATAGGGTGTAGCTTGATGCACCACAAAAAAAGACGGATTTGTGCTTTTAACATTGGACAGGATCAATTGGGGGTTGTCCATCTAACTTACTTTTTAAAGACTTTCTGCTCCCTGTGCTTCTTCTGAGAAACAGCCTAAGCTGCTAAAGAAGCTCAGTCTGGGGCCTTCTGAGGTATAGTTCATCTTCCTTTAACAATGTGTTAAACCTTTATTTTCCTCCCTTTTTTTTCCCTTCACATTATAATCTCCAATTCCCCACCAGCAAGGTGGGAAGATCGTTTAGTTTCACGCAATCCTTTTAACACTTCATTTGGATCTGCTCTAAGAATATTCCCTCATTAATACATTCCAGTGCCTGTCTTTCATTTTCTCTATGCTGGGAGCTGAGCAGTGTTACCTGCATTTGCATAAATCAGATAACCAGGAGGAAAATTGATGAACACTCAGGACAGTTTATCACTGTTTTTCAGGGATCTCACACTTTGTAGGTCAGGGGACCTGTGGGTGTTTCTGTCATCTTATCTGCTTCTTGTCTTGCTCTAAATCTTACGATGCTCTTCTCTTAGAGATAAGGCTCATCTCATTTTTCCATAGCTCTGTTATTTTGTTATCATGGAGATCCTCGTAGCTCCACGTGGGAGGGCTCACGGGAATGCCCGGTTGGGTTTTAGATTCTCTGTGAGTTCTGTGAACACAGGAGAGCATCTGGTCCTCCCTGAGCTCCACTGAACAACGTGCTCTGTGTGTTCTGGGGCTCGGGGACTTGGGGGTTCCCTGCTGCAGCCCAGAGCAGACGGACGAGCTGCTAAACCTCTGCCTTCAGCTTCAAAAAATATAAAAGCTGTAGGGAGAACTAGAAATCTTCCCACATCGTTCCCACGATGCTCTCCTGCCCGTCCCCGGGGTGGGCACGGGGAGCTGTGGGCATAGGCAGGACCCAGCTGCTCCCCGCTCCTGCGGTGCCTGGGGAAATACCTCCCTCCAGAGCATCCCGGAGCCAG